CAGAATAATTATAAATGCGAAAAAGTACCAAAGTCTACCAAAGTCTAATGCAGTGTTTGTGGTGGTAGTGTGAGTAATCCTGAATAATACAAAATTTTTTTAAGGTGGTGACTATGGCGTTCACAACCAATGATTGTCAGTTTAATATTACCGAAAAGTATAGAAAATAAGAAAAAACCAAAAAACTAATAATTACATGATGGTTAATGACACGACAATTTTGTAATACTCGTAGTGCTAATATATTCGGAACCAGTGGATACACAATAGAAGTAATATAGTAAAGTACAAAAAAGGAAGCCAATGTTAATATTTTAGGTAGCTAAGTATGTTTGAGTAGGAGTTCACTAAAGAATACAAAACAAGAGAGAAATAAAAGAGCCTAAAATTATGTTGTTAATAACAAAGCAAGTCATAAGTTTCACGCTTAACATTGTCTCTGTCGCTTAGAACACGGGCCAAGTATGGTATCGTTGAGTTCTTGTACTTGGTTGTACGAGCATAGATTATTTTATACTGATTTCTGGTTTTACTTGATGAGATACAAGGCGAGAGTTGGGAATAGAGGGAGTGTTGAGGGTCGGAGAGTATGGTTTTTGACCATTTTCCGCATGTATTCCGATGCCTATCAACTAAAGCAGTGACGAGCTGACTGAGATTTACACCACTAGTCCTACTGACTACCTTCAACATCCCTCTCAGAATGGTATAGTCCTTTTTCAGTAGACCAGGAAAGACTAACGGGGAGCAGTAAAGTAGAACAGGTAAGATACAAGAGTTGACAAATTGTGAAAGTAGAGGTTGGGTGATTCCTGATTGTCTAAGTTTCTTAATGTAGTAGGTAAGACAGAACACTTTCTTAGAAATCATTAGGATATGAGATGTTCAAGTAAGGTCGGAAGATAGAACTAGACCGAGGTATTTAGCATTAGACTTAGTTTCAGTTTTAGTCCCCTCAATGCAACAGTCTTCATGAGAACTTACTAGTGTTTGTAGATCTCGTTTATGCCTAAGGGATAAGTCAATAGTCTGGCATTTTGAGGGATTCAGCATGAGACCATTTAGTCTGGACCACTCACTGATGTCCGACAGGAAGCTATTTAATTTGAGACAGTCTGACTGAGACTTAATGGGAAACGATACAGACAGGTCATCTGCATATTTTACGAAGTTGATTTCATCTGAGAGAGGTAAATCATGTAAGAAGAAGGAAAAGAGAAATGGAGAAAGAACAGCACCCTGAGGAACTCCAGCTTCAGTAAGCAAAGGAGAGGAAGATACACCATTATATACCGTGTACTGCATCCTACTAGAGAAGTAAGAGTGTAGCCAGTTGATAGCCCAGGGCTCAGTTTGTGTAAGGCTAAGCTTGTTTAACAATAGGCCTCTAGGTACAGAGTCGAAAGCAGATGTATAGTCAAGGAACGTGCAACGGACAAACTTGGCCCCTTTGTCTAAGGAGGATACAATGTTGTGATGAAACACAGCAGCAGCGTCCAAAGTACTTTTACCCTGTTTGTAAGCAAACTGCCTTGGATCGTTTGAGAAACTTAGGGAGGGAACAAGTTTTAGTAACAATAATTTCTCCATTAGTTTCAAAAAAGTAGAAGTAATAGCGATAGGTCTAAACTAGCATTATTACCAGAACCTGACTTGGGTACAGGGATGACTTTAATATCTTTCCCCAGAGAAGGTACAACATTATTAGAAAAAGAAGTGTTGAAAATGTTTGTAAGTGGGTTACTTAAAATATCAGCACATTTCCTTAAGACAGTGGCAGGTATACCATCAGGACCTAGACTCTGGGAAGGTTTAAGAGATTTTAAACATTTAAGAACATCAGAAGTTTTAAAACTATTAAAGTCACTGGTCATGTTATTTGTTACATTGAAGCTAAAATGTAATTTGTATATGATTAAATAGCATCATTATTTATAAATCACGAACTCCTAATGTATTCTACTTTATGATGTCTGGTATGTATTAGAAATGTTATTCAGAAGTAGAAGTAAACAATTAAATTATACAAAGAGTAAAAATTTCAGTTTCAACAAATTTTCGACTTTTACAATAAGAAATATGTAAATGAAAAAAAGGTTCTTTCTATGACAGTAAAACGCTACTCAAAACTCTTCATTGATCGTTAGACTGTGAACTCACCAATCTTAGTTAATCTATGCGAAAAGGATTCTGAAAGACGTTATATTGTTCCTCTGGTGTATACTGTCACAACCAGCCATCACTGTTTACTGTTTTCACCCTATGACCATAAAAGCTCAGATATATTTCTGGTGATAAGCATCATTTGTGGATTATTATTATTATTTATTAGTCGGATACTCTTGACTTACCAGTACACAAAAACTTGGAGGATATGTATTTCGCTGATGAAAAATGTCTCACAAAATGGAAGATATGCAAGTGAAAAGCAACAAGTTGGCAGAAGAAGCATCCAGAGAAGATGGGACTTCAGGCGAACATAGAGAAAACAGAGGTGATGAAGATTCCTGGGCAACAGCAATAGCAGCAACAACAATCGACAACAATCAGCATAAATGGGAGGAACCTGAAAGAAACAACCTCTCTTACCTACCTGGGAAGCGTCGTCTCAACTACAGGCGGACGGAACTGACGAGGATATCAAAGTGAGAATCGGAAAAGCAAGACAAGCTTTCACTACTCTCAAGTCTGTGTGGAGGTCAACAACACTCAGCATCAAAACGAAGATAAGATCCGGATTTTCAACTCCAATGTGAAATCAGTGCAACTTACTATACGGATCAGAGACTTGGCCAGCGCGTCATAAAGAGCATCTCAAACAAACTACAGACCTTCATTAACAGTTGTCTTCGCTCAATACTAATCAAGATCAGATGGCCGGCCAGAAAAGATCAGCAACAGGAAGGGATCTCTGGGAGCGAACCAACCAGGAACCGACTGTGAAACAAATAGGCAGGAAGGAAGGAGATGGATTGGTCATACTCTGAGGAAACAATGCATCAAGTGACATCACTAGACAAGCCATTGCTCGAGTGGAACCCGATTGAACGGGAAGCGGCGAGTTGGTCGTCAGTGCGAGGGTGAGGGTGACTTGGAGGAGGTCATGTGAAGAGGAGATGAAAACGTGTGGGCAGACTTGGAGCCAGGTGAAAACTCTAGCAGAGAACCGAACGCAATGGAGACGCACGGTTGAAGCCCTATGTTCCTCTAGGAATTAAAAGAAACAATAATAATAATAATGATCAGTACAGAGAGTTAGTAGCTCACATGCCATCTTATTAACAAGCTTGAAAAGTACTGGAAGTTATAGCATAATCAGAGCACATTAAATATGATGACTCATCTGATAATCCTATCTTTAATATCTGAGAAATGATAAATCAGGAAAGGTTAATATGCTTATAAGGTTATGTGGTAAACACTCTAGCTGACTGTGTTAAGGAAGATGTCCTACTTCGGGATAGTAGTAAATTCATGCAGATTAATTTATTGTACAAGGATTCTTTTTGCATAACTACTTTTAATCAGGTCATATATAAACAAAAAATCAAACTTCAGGTGGCACCGATGAGGTTGTCAAGGTCAGACATCATCAGGAAAGCAAAACAGGCGTTGTTCACTGCCATGAAATCATTGCATAGATCCACTAACCTAATTAACACAAAGAAAAACATCTTAATTTTCAAGACTAATGCCAAGTCAGTGCTTCTATACTGACTCAAAGAATCAAACTTATCGAAAGCCTATCCATCAGTTTGAAGACTGTCATCAACAGCTCTCTTCACTGACCGGCCAAGAAGATTAAGCATCAAGGAATTCTAACTACAAACTATTCAACGACCTAATGTCCAGCAAATATGGCAAAGGAGATGCAGATGCATTGGACATGCTCTGAGAGGGAAGCGATGGGTTAGTTATGAGTCTGAGGTTGATTTGTAAGAGATTGTATAAAGACGAAATGAAAGCTTTTAGACAGTCTTTAAACCGTCTGAAAGTGATCACAGAGGATGGAGTGTAATAAAGGTGAGACATTGAAACTTTGTGTTTCCCTCAGAACACAAGCAGCAAATATCAAAAAATTTTCTTCCAAAACTTGAAAGCATTTTAAAATTGCAAAATGGCCGTATTCAGTCCATCGGTACTTGTTTTATGAATATAAGGATAAAACTTGGGTACTGTAGTAGAGTATAACTCCATAATGAATCAAATTTTATTTTGAATAAAATCACACAGTATTGTAAAGTAATATTTACTGATGACGTTTCGAGCACAAATGATTGCTCATAATCATAACAAGGTACTCAAAGAGCTTTCTTGCTTCATTTATATTCATGAGTCAAAATAAGTAACTTGTTAGAATGTTATAATGTGAATTGAATTGAATAGCTACTGAATTCTTACTCTTTCTCAACCTATTGCATGGTTGTGTGTTAATGCGTGCAGTGCGACTGCCGCGTTTTCTTCCTAAATTACTTATCTTCATGGGATCAATCATTCGAGCCTTAGCTAAATTCTTATATTCTGATTATCTCACTACTCCCCTTATCTAGTGGTTTGACCTATATGGTTGACTTAACCCACAGTCATTGCAAGGTATTTTGTAAATTCTATTATTTTGTCTAAATGGGTGAACCGGATCATTTAGCCTACAGAGCTTGTCTCTGAGTGAGTATGTAGGTTTGAATGTCACTTTAATTTTATGAATGTTACCATTGATTGTATGATATGATATGAATTCAATGGTATTCGAATAGTTTAGGAAACTGTATACTGTTATTAGTAAAGTTTGACTTCAGATATAATATTGATTTGAACAATGAGTGTTTTGTCATCAATCATTCACACTAAATTTATAATTTCGCCTTTCTATCGTCTCATGCATGCGCGAATAGTCCATAAAATACACTGACCAATCAGAAAAGACATCACTGGTTTATTTTCTGATTGGTTACCAAGTATATCAGTTTTAAACAACAATGAGTGGTATATTATGGAAATCTGTTAAATATTATATGTAACTTGGAGGTTCCATTTTAATAATAACTTCAAATGGGATTAAAAAACTTAATCATTTAATAATATGATTTCTGTTTAAGCAGATTTTCAAAAATCCCTCTTCACAATAATCATAAAATCGTTTTAATAAGAAAAATAGTTCTAGAGTGAAATTTCAAGCTATGAATGTGACATCTGAAAAATCAGATACAGATTTAACTTTATACAGTGAAAATAACATTGAAATTTACAGTACACTTTTTGTACAGACAACAGTATGTATCATTGGAGCGATATTGAATATTTTAAATGTGATTGTATTGAGTCGTAGACAATTTGAAGCGACACCATATTTATTTATGACTGCATTGTCATTGACAGATACTGGAATATTACTTGTTCACTTACCATCTGGTATGGTGAGGTAAATTTCATTGTTTGATATTTGAATAATATATATTTCTCATTTATTATACACCTAATAACCATTATCTATTGCTTTGATTCGTATTCAGCTTGTTCCTAGTTGGTCTGATTTCATCTCTGGTATTTCACTAAAGTAAAGATGACTCTTGTCTAAAGAAACTATCCCCGCTCATTTTTTTTCCTTCACGTTCCCCAGTGGAACATAGGGCCTCAAGCTAGTGGCTTGAAGTTTCTGTAGCAGTGTTAATTTTACAGGATGGGGTTGCTAGCCTCATACCCAACCTTTCCTCTTTACCAGCTTTTATTTCTGGTTTAGCGAGGTAAAGGAGTGCGTCGGCCGGGGATCGAACCCCGGACCATGTGTATGATCGGCGAGCGTCCTAACCACTATGCCACCGACACACAATCCCCAATCATACTTTACACATTTCAGAAAGTAATTTTCAACTGACAATAAGCTTCTGCTTTTACGTAAGTTCTCCGCCTACTGACACTTATCAACAGTTTCGGTCTGTAACATTAAGGAAATCCATAAATTCTCTTAAATAAGAAAACAAGTTTTTCACCGTCGAAATCATGAATATTACCACGAAGTTTTTCAGATTCTTTGTGACATTCTGTAGGACTACTTGGTGTGTGCAAGTCAATCACTAACTGCTAAGGAATACACAGCTTTTACGTGTATATTTATGCAAGTTATGATCAGACAGGGAAAATATTGAGAGAAAAATTGAAATACCTGGCAAATAAGTGCCCAGAAGCAAGAAATATGAATCAAACAGTGTTTCCAATCATTTGACGCTTAAAATCTCAGGCAAAAGGCTCAAGTGCACTACCGATCGATAAACTTCGATCAACAAGAAATTACTAATCAGATATATTAATTATTACCAATGGTGACTTTGTGTATTTCTAAGAGTTTTGGAACGTCGACATTATTGAATTCAAAAATAGGGGAAAAGAAGCGAATTCTAAACTGTTTCTTATCTGCCTTTTAAAATTTTTGTTTTTATTTAGATCTCAGTTTAAATAAATCTATTTTCAATTGGTAAACAGTACAATATACAAATACTATTGACTGTAATCAGTAATTATAAAATAATTCACACCAGTAAATGAAAAGGTGCATCGGTGGTACAGCGGTAGAATGCTCGCCAACTACTCAAGTGGTTTGGGGTTCGATCCCTGGCTGATGCACTCCTTTACCTCACTAAGCCATTAATAAGAGTAGTAAAGAGGGAAGGTTGAGCATGAGGCTAGCAACCCCATTCTGTAAAAATAAACACCACTGCTAGCGAAACCTCAAGCCTCTAGCTTTAAGCCCTATGTTCCACTGGAAACGTAAAGAAATAAATAAATGAAAACTCAATTAAAGAAAATGACACTGATCAATATTTTCACTTATTCATCTTAATATTTCTTTAATACACCACATTGAAAGTACAGGTTTTCGCGCAATCACCGAGGTTGAACAACGTTGAGGCCAGGTGAGTACTAGCGTGGATGACTGGCTAAGACTAGCGAATGTTGCTGGTTTTAGTTCACCAATAGTTCAGTGGTGGAATGTTCACCAGTCAAGTGAGAAGTTTGAGTTCGATTCCCGGTTGATGCATTCTTATGCCTTGTCTAGTTTAATAACTGGTCTCAGGGTGAGAAAAGAGGGAAGGTTAGTGGTGAGGCTAACAACCTCCTCATCTTGTAAAAACATTATCATTGCTACTGAAACTTCACATCTCGAAACAATGAATTAGGAAAGATTTTTATTTTTAGTAATACCATTGAATAAAATCGGTTTTCTTACTAGTGGGAATACATTAAGATGTTTCAGATGTACTTATAAAGCCTTTTAAATTCACTCAAATCACGATTTTGTTTGACAATACTGAGTATAATGTCAAGTAAAGTTATTCATTTACGTTCACAGTGGAACATAAGGCTTCAAGCTACAGCTTTGAAGTTCCAGCAGCAGTGGTATTTATTTGTACTGGATGGGGTTGCTAGCCTCATGCCCAACCTTCTCCCTTTACCAATCTTATTAGTGGCTTTGTGAAGTAGAGTTCTTCGCCCGGAGATCGAACCCCGAACCACTTGCGTGGTTAGCGAGTATTCTATCGCTGTGCCACCGACGCACTTATTATGTAAACACACTACGAAACATTACAGAAATGTTAAATTATCCTAAGAAGACAAATATTTTTGTTACAGAAGAAGGTAAACATTATTACTCGTCAGATATTATGATAACAGAAAGGTAATAAAAACGACACTAATCTTAGCAACAATTTTACTTGCAGAATAATCAAAGTGACACACTATCTTTGACAATATTAATACAAACAATAAAAATAAAATCTTCAAGTATTGGTTTTTGTAGGGATTTAATTTCATTGGATGGAGGATTTCATCATGAGCTGACATCAGTTAGAGAACCATTGGAAAATCTGCAGGGAGTACTGGACAGCTGTTTCATCAGTCTAGTTTGGGACTCTTCAGCAGTACGCAGCACGACTGGACATATTCAGGTGCTAACCTGGAGTTCTAGTGGGAAGCCGTGATCAGTAGAGTAAAGCACGTTGAGGGTGAGGCAGTAACTCATCAAAGAAGACATTGTGAAGTGGCCACGCTATGTCATGAATCGGCAGAAGTTAGAATTCATGGACCACTGGATCCACTGGATGCGGTCCCAATGGCTTAATGGTCTACGAGCTCTCCTTGTAACCAGAAGGTCTTGGGTTTGAACCCTGGCAGTGAGTGCGTGCTGTGGAAGAGCTCCAAACTACGCTGACCAAACAGCTGTCCAGTATTCTCTGCATGTTTTCCAATGGTTCTCTAAATGATGTCAGCTCATGATGAGATCCTCGATCCACTCAAATATAAAATCATTAGTATTTATTTGTAAATGCTAACTGTAACGAGCAAAAGTCAAGTATTTGTGTCTGAAGGCAGCAAACAAGTCAACAAAACCAAGTTAGTACTAATCAAGCAGGTTGTTGCCTTCTTTTGCATAGTTTCCTAAACTTCTGTGAGTCATGGACAGTTAAAAATTATATTCTGACAGTAGCAATACACGATATAACGTGATCCAATCTGTGGTGCCATTAAACAGTGGTGAGTCATACCGGAAATACAAAAAACCTCAATTATACCGTTAGGTAAGGTTTCTCAGGTAAAACAAACACCAACTTAATATACGGTAAAAATAATAAACCAAGTACAACTGTTAAATACTTGACAATCAACAAGAATTTCACCACAAAAAATGAGATAGAAATTTTGTCCTCAAGAAACAAATGCAGCAAAGCATGTTCCCAGCAGACAGTCTAAAAGCTACCCGACATCCTACGGTGCAGCTTTACGTTTACTGAGACGAAATACTCACACTAGTAAGAGAATTTATGATAGTCAACAGTCTAGCAACAGTTAAAAAGGATAAACTCAAAATAAAACATACAAATATCCCAGTAATGAGATACAAGCCAGGGGTAGAGAATAATAATCACAAAATTAATTGAAATACTCAAATATAAACATCAACATTGTAAATAGATTTTGTTCATGGAGGGATTTTCAAACCAATTATTCTGTTTATATTAACTAAATTTGTTATGAATCCATGAACAGTTAGTTAGTTAGTTATATGGAACTACCAGCTGAGTTATTTGGAAAGTTAAGTTGACATTGATAAGTTAAGAAAAGGATGATCAAAATCATGCTATAAGATAACGGACTAAGTAATACTCAGGCTAATCTGTGTATTTGCTGTGAAACTGGCTTTGAGATGTCAGTTTGTTTTGCAGAGATTAATTATTTGTTCTAATCTTATTGTTGTTAGTGGCATTGTTTTATTATTATTATTCTATTGATTTCAGTGAAAAATACCTAAGATTGACGTTGGTGGTTCAGATGTAGGATATTTGCCAACCACTCGGGTGGTCTGGGGTTCGATTCCCAGTTGACTCACTTCTTAACTTCGCTTAAGCTGTAGTAAGACGGGTAAAGGGGAAATGCTAGACTTGAAGTTATCAAACCCACTTAGTAAAAAAAATATATAAAACATTACTACTGATGAGACGTCAGAGCTCAAGCTTGAAGTCCAATTTTCTACTGAGAATACAAATGAATGAAATAACAGGTGAACGTAGAGAAAACAGAGGTGATGAAGATTCCTGGACAAGAACAACAACAACAACAGACAACGATCAGCATAAATGGGAGGAACCTGAAAGAAACAACCTCCTTCACCTACCTACCTGGGAAGCATCGTTTCAACTACAGGCTGAAGTGACGAGGATGTCAAAGCAAGAATCGGGAAAGCAAGGCAAGCTTTCACTACTCTCAAGTCTGTGTGGAGGTCAACAGCACTACTCAGCATCAAAAATAAGATCCGAACTTTCATCTCCAATGTGAAGTCAGTGCTACTATTCGGATCAGAGACTTGCACTGCGCATCATTAAGAGCATCTCAAACAAACTACAGACCTTCATTAACAGTTGTCTTCGCTCAATACTCAAGATCAGATGGCTAGCCAGAAAAGATCAGCAACAAAGATCTCTGGCAATGAGCAAACCAACCAGGAACTAATTGTGCAACAAATATGCAGGAAGAAATGGAGATGGATTGTCTATACTCTGAGGAAACCATCAAGTGACATCACTAGACAAACCCGAAACGAAAGCGGCGAGTTGGTCGTCAGTGCAAGGGTGACTTGGAGGAGGTCATGTGAGGAGGAGATGAAAACGTGTGGGCAGACATGGAGCCAGGTGAAGAATCTAACAGAGAACCGAACGCAATGTAGACGCACGGCTGAAGCCCTATGTTCCTCTAGGAATTAAAGGAAACAATAATAATAATAGACGTAAAATTGTAAATATTTACCTTACCATCACCTACGAAACGCGTCCTAATAGGGTCGTTATATTAGTTTGTACTCAGTTTAAAATTCTAAGGAAGATATAAAAATTATGCAATTTTTCCAGAATCAGGCAAATGCAGAATTGG